GCCCCCACCCCGGCTGAGCCAATCAGGATACAAACTGATATAGTTGGGCTGCTTGGGAAAGTTCACGCGAGAAGAGAGTAACAGACGGCTTCTGCTTGTGTGTCACTTTGACCACAAACTGTTTCTGGGCTTCGGAAAGGTTTGAGCATAGTTCTAGTCTAAGTGGCTGCTAGAAGACAGGCGGTGGTCATTGAATTCCACTCCATGTGTATTGAAAATTGCTTTATTCATTGGTTAATGTACCTAACGGCGTTGTAAACCAAGGCCAGAATATCCTCCTGAGTAACGTGACTGGAGCCTGTCAGCCTGGGCCCGCTATGGTCTGGGGTTCTGGGCAGCTCAGGCCATGGCGTTCGTTCTCAGGGCCTGTTGGCTCAAGTGCTGCAGTTGCCCTCTGCTCCTGGCTCTGCGAGCTGTTTGCCCGGCTTTTGGCCACCTGCCCGGGCAGCCTCCCTGCTCGCGTCCACATGCGCGGGAAATGCACTGCACCCCGTTAGGTGCCTCCACGGAAGTAGGCCTGTTAAGCCCTTGCACAGGTCAGTCAGGAAGCCTGTTGGCAGGCACTGTGGAAGACTCGGACTGGAAAATGCCCTCTCCAAGTGCTGTCTGGATCTCACTTGTCATTTTTGTCTGGGGTGCTGAAATGGAGGTTTACTAGTGGGAGGCTTAGGACCCACCCACAGCCTCATTGGCCCTTCCACAGCTGTGTTCCCTGGAGGTAATTACCCTTGTGCTTTTGGAGGTTTTGTGGGGGTTCTGTTTTGTTTTGCTTTATTTTGTTTTTGCATTGGAGCAGTAGCTCGGTACCAAAGTCCCACAAAGCTCTGCGTCACTGGCAGTCTTTAGTGATTAAACAGGCAGCCAGTGGGCCTGGCAGATGCTGAAGTTCGCAAGGGGAAAAAGAGGCCTGCCCATCTGCTTTCCAGTGGGAAGATCTGTGCTGACTTGGGCCACTCCTGAGACCAGGGGAAAAGCCAAGAGACACACAAGCCTTATGACAAAAACTTTGGAAGAGTTTTGGATCCCCACCATCACTCGTAACAGGCTGCTACCTTGCCACCGTCATTACGATCATGGACGCTTTCTTCCATGTTCATTTGGGAGCAAGTTTCTCTCCACAGCTGGTTTCCCTGAGTATTACATCCTGATCTCTCCTCTTTTTTTTAATTCCCTGCTGTCGCACTGTGCACCCCCCTCCCCTTCTTGTTTTAGCTGACACTGGGCAGGAGAAGTGACTGGGATTACAGGAGAGACAGATCCTATCCCGACAACTAGTCTCTGGGACCTCCTTAGTAATCTGAAAAGCAAGGAGACCCAATCTACCTATTTGTCGTCTTCTAATGGTAAAACCAAATCTCCCAGATCCAGTCTGAAGCCTTCCCTCCAGCCCAGTTTCTTTGGGCTATGAGGCTGTAGGAAAATGACTATTACAAAGAAACTGACAGGGAGACACTGGAGGACCAGGGCTGCTGCTGGAGGAGAGCTGTTATTTTGAGATGTTTGTCCCCTGCTGATTCATATTCTCTTCCGCAGCTTTATCTGGAAGCAGGACCTCCACAGTAAAACTGACTTTCTTGGCATGGATGAAGCTGTAGGTATTGTCAAACCGCAGGACATCTGGGGGAGCAGAAAACCAGACATTTAGGCAGTTCGACTAAGAGCTTGGGGCTAGCGATTGTGATTTTTACTGACTAAGCAAGGCAGTGTGGTAGGAGATGGAAGTAAAGGTAGCATAGTCCTTGACCTGAAACTCATTCTAGCTAGATTAACAATATGTTCATGGAGTGGAAAATAATGTATGACACAGAGCACCAAGTGAGATGAGTGACAGAGGATCACAACTGGAACAGCTTAGAAGAAAAGGGTCTCCAAGGCCAAATTCATGGCTTTTTAGACCAGGCAGAGCATGAACTGGGCTTTGAAAGGAGTGGGTAACAGCAGCAGCAGCAGTAGCTTGATGATGATAAGGCCTCTATGGAGGCACTGAGTTTGTAATCTATACGTGCGATCACACTCTCCTTCACAGCAACTCTGAATTCAGCAGTAGCTCTGTTTTATAAATAAGGTAAAAAGGGAATGGTGGAACTGGAATTTCCCTAAGGTTTGCATTCCTGCCCATGGTCCTGCTTGATTTGGGCCCTGGGAAGCCCAGTTCCATTCAGTTTCTGTACAAAATTTATGAACCAGAAACTTACCTTGTAGAAAGAGAAATGGGGCAAGGGTGCTCACTGCATGCCTGCCCATAATAATAAAAAGATGGAATATTCATCAAAGGAAAGTTGCCTAAGCAATTTGTGTTGTAATTCGTGTGCTGGAACACTGTTGTGATATAAAAGAAACAGCTTAGCTGAACATGGTAGCACACACCTGTAATCCCATCGCTTAGGAAGCCGAGGAGCCAAAGTTCAAGGGCAGCTTGGGCTATGCGCCAAGTTTGAGGCCAAGCTGGACAATTTAAAGGAAAGAGGGAGAGCTGGAAGGAAGGGAGTTTAGTGCCACATAATGATGGGGAGAAATTTCTAAGACACATCCTGAAGCCAAAACAAGCTGTAGAACAGTTTGTAACATTTTTGTTAATGTATGTAGAAAAATACAGGTGTTTGGGCTTTTTTATTTGTCTACACTTCCAGGTTCTCTTTGATGATGCCACTCTGGTCTGGCAGTGGTAGAAAGCGACAGGTTTGCTCAAGCCCTGTGGTGAGTTATATTTCAAACTTTCCTCAAATATATACCAAATGACAGACATAATTCTTGTGGCTGTGGCTGTGTGTGAGAACCTGCCCTGCTAATTATGGATGCATAGTCTTCCAAAAAGGAATGGAATATATTTGGCAGGATGACAGATAGGACCTGTTAGCGATGGTTTCCTCAGAGACAAGAACAGGGGCATTCATTTGGCAGAGAAAGCTTCTAAACCTTGGCAACTGAACAGGCTTAGTTTTAATCTAACTCTGTGCCTTCGACAAGTTGTTGCATTTCATTCAAATGCCCCTTTAGGAGAACTAAGCATGAAAATAAAAACATTAGCTTCGCCCCTTCCCTGCTCTGCTCTTCTCTCACTTATGTCAGTGATGGAAAAACAACAATTGTATTTATCTTAAAACTTAACCTTTTTTCCTGATCCTGGATAAAATGCATTAGCCCAACAGCCAACACAGTCCCCTGCTCCTTCCTGTCACAAAGTATCAGTCATCTGTTTTCCATCTCTACCAGAGGTCCTACCTGTCCCATGCTCCCTCTGCCCTGCATGACAGCCTTGGCAATCAGAGTTCATCACACTTTGATCTCCTTAGACCTGGATTGAGATGTCTTTGCCTAGCAAGATTTCACCCTCAAACACAAGAAAGGACTCTAAGGGAGGCACAGGAGAAGTGGAGGCACTGCGCCTCCAGAGTCTGCATGACTCTATGTGACACTGATCATCTATTCACAGGCTCATGGATGGATTGCCTACTTTTGTTAGGTAACTAACCCCTTTGAGAATCTGAAGGCAGCTTGCAATTTCAGATTCCCTAGGACCATTGTAGCTCCTCAGGGGCTGTGTCCCTAAGGTAAAGATGTTGTTCTGAAGAGAGGTGGGGCAGTAGGTGTCATCTTGCCTTCTCATTTATGTAGTGAAAAAATATGGAAATTCTAGGTCTGGGGCTAAAGCTCAGTGAGAGCACTTGCCTAGAATGCAGGAAGGCCTTGGTTTGATCCCTAGTACCTCATAATAATGTTCAAAATGAGTTCCTTTTATTTTTCTTTATATTACAGATTATATTGATTTTTAAATTGTAAGTGTAGATGGGTTTTATTATCTGAATTTTGTTTCAGAATGTAATGGGGACAGTAGCTACTATTTATAAAAGGGAGGTGTTTGTCCCTAGATTCAGAACCACTGCTCTAGGGAGTTCAGGGGCCCCAGGTAAAGACTTGCTCTACCTCACTTCCCTCATTTTATGGAGAAGGAAAACCAAATCTGTTATTTAGGGTCACTTGCTCAGAACACTCTAGGAGAGGTGGTGGCAAAGCTAGACTTTCTCAGTAAGTGGGCCACTTGGTACTTAACTGGCCTGTTTTCACACCAACACTATCTCACACCTTCCTAAGGGATTTCAGGTCTTCCAGACTACATTGTACCCTCCTGCCAAAGTCTATACTTTTCCTCAATCTTCCCATTCCTAGTTGAGCATTCCACACTCAGCAGGTCCTCAGTAAAGATTAGGTGGGAGGAAAAGGGTAAAATCAATCCAAAATTGTCCCCAGTACACCTGAACAAGGGTCAGACATACCCACATGTTCTGTTTCTTTATTGAGTGATCATATTCCACCTTTCAGGGGGTCTCCTGGTCCTCAGAGGCACTGCTGCCCACAGGTGAGCTTGTAACCTAATCCTTGGATCTCCAGACTCTGATGTCAACAATTCTGGCTCCAAATGACAGCTGATACCCCTCATTGACTTTATATCTTGGGGGGGGGCACTTGACATTGTGGCCTGACTTTGTTCCACCTATGAATGGGCATAAGCAGATCCCAGGCAGGGAAAGGCTTCTGTGGGGAATAGATCCAAGATGGGCTAAAATAAATTTGGGATTTCCAGACCCAAGCCTAGTTATGTTAACAGGCTATGTCATCCTTCTGCTATGGAGGAGATGCAAATGGGCCAGGGCTCTCCTGCTAGCTCTGTGACCTTTGGGAAAGTACTTCCTGATCTGGGACTCCACACTCCCTTTTGTCACATCAAGGATAAATGCCGTAATCATCTCTAGGTCAGTCTGTGACCAGGAGTCTCTAGTGTTCTCTTCTTTTGGTGTCTACACAAGTTACTTTGTAGGAAAGGGAACATCCCTTTTCTATATATCAGCTTCCTCATCCTTTAAAAAAAAAAAAGGCAACCTTGTGTTTAGAAAGTGCTTTCTCCTTTGTGGATGATAATACCTGGGCAGTGCTAAAGCCTTGTTCTTGCTGAAGCACACAGTCTACACCCTCCTCTTGAGACCTGGTTGCTCTCTAACAAGAATGCTCCCTGTCCCTAGGGAACCACAGTGTATCTGTGTGGGGGGACAGGAGCGACTTTGTGTTGCTGGATGGGAGGGAAGCCAGCAGACATCTGTGGGGCCAGTGAAGAGGCCTTGATACTGCCTCAGAAATGGAGCCCAGGGCTTCTCCCATCTTGTAGCATAATGGGAATGGCCCTGATCCCCCACTTGCTCTAATAAAAGCTATAATGGTAGCCACAGACACTGAGTTGCTTGCTCTACCTCTGGCATTATGCCATTCACCTCACAGACCTTATCACGTGTAATCTCGTATCTCTGTAAGATCCCAGTTGCAACAATCAGGAAACTGAGACTTATGAAGATTAAGTCACTTGGCTAAGGCCACATACCTAGCCAGTAGTCAAGTCTAACTCAGATCTGAGTATAAAGCCTTTGTTCATGCTTTTCTACCCTCAGTCCCTTGGCTCAGAAAGGAAACTAGAAATTTAGCTGGCTTGTGTGTTGCTATATGCATATACTTTTTCCACTTACAACTGTAGTACATTGTCACTGTAAAATGGAAGTATAGAAGGACCAGAGAGATGGCTCAGCAGTTAAGGGCACTGGCTGCTCTTTTGAAGGACCCAGGTTTGATTCCCAGCACCCACATAGTGGCTAACAACCACCTGTAACTCTAGTTCCAGGGGATTCGACACCCTCTTCTGACTTCCATGGGCATTGCATGACATGGGTGCACTTACATACATGCAGGCAATATACACATACACATAAAAAAATAAAAATAATATTTAAATATATGTTTACATAAATAGAAAAAAAATAAAAGGCCTCTGTAAGCATCCTGTTACCCTATAGTTAATGTAGATTTCCCAGAATTCCTTTCTGTATACATACTTTTTTTTTCAACCAAAGTGAATATATACCACATGCTCTTTCCTGTTTATCTGCTTAACATGTGTTAACATCTTAGCTGTCAGTGTATTCTCTTGAATGACTATATGGTGCTATTGTATGCATGGACCATAATTACTTATTTGACTTATGATGGGTTTTATAGGCTACCAGGAACATCCTGCTCCCTTGATCTTTGTGTGTTTTGTGTAAATGTTTCTGTAGGATACATTTCAGAAGTAGAACTGCTGAGTCTAAAGGAATTTTAATCAATAACAAAGTGAGCGAGGTTAGGCACCATTTCAAGTATCTGTTTGTCATTTTTATTTCTTCATGTATAAACTGCCTGCTCATGTCCTGTGCTTGCTCTTTGGACAACCTGGAGGTGACTGATGTTCAGAGGGTTCAAGACTGGCTTTTTACAGCATACCGCTCCCAATGGGATCCTTACACCCATCTAGTCAGATCTGCCTCTGTGGCCTGTAGCGGAGGAGCATCCACAAGAACTGTTTGGCCACTGGCACTGGCCTAATTAGCCTTGGACCCAAAAGCAGACTTTTTAAAAAAGGATTTATTTGGATTTTATGTATATAAATATTTGGCTGCAGGTATGTATGTGTTACCACATGTGTACCTGGTGCCCAAAGAGGCCAGAGAGAGGATTAGAGCCCCTGGAACTGGAGTTACAGATGGTTGTGAGCCACAATGTGAGTGCTGGGAACCGAAGCCGGGTCTTCTGCAAGAGCAGCCAGTGCTCTTAACTGCTGAGCCATCTCTCTAGCCCCAACTTTTTTTTTTAAAGACAATGTTTGTATAGCCCAGGTTGGCCTCAACTTGCCATTCTTCCTCAGCTTCCTAAGTGCTAGGATTACAGATGTGTGTCACCATGTCAAGCTCCCAAAAGCAGATGTTCTGAACTTTTGTGCTCACCTCTACCTAGGAGTATCAGGCAAGAATCCCACCCTGCAGTAAACTAGCTGGGTCCCTTTAAGCAAGTCACTGCACCTTTCCAGGCCTACTTTTCCTCGTCTGTGCCAGGAGAGGTGACTTCAGAGTCCTCCTTCCTATTCTAACACTGAGGAAGAGGGGCCTCACAAACAGAAGGGTGGCAGGGGGCTTCAAGCATTGTCAAGACCCGGATACTTACAGATGCCTGGATCACTGCAGGTAAGAGTCCCATCCTCAGGGACCATGTGGGAGTTGTACCTCTGGTTGGGCAGCACCTCTGTCATCTCCCCTGCCCGCTGCCGTTCTCCCATCTTTGTCTTCAGGAATATCCCAAAACCAACGTCTGCCCCCTCTGACATAAACTGCCACCTGCAGAGGACATCACCCTCTTAGACACAGCTCTACTTGTGTCCACAGCAACAGGCTTCTTCCACCCCAGCCTACACACTGGTACTATGAATGAAAGGCTCAGGTGTCCTAGAAGGGGCCTGGTCCTACCTGAGGACACAGCCAGGGAAAAGGATCTCATACTCCACTTGGTGGGAGGAGCCTCGGGAAATCTGCACGCTGTGCTCATACTGCTGCTTCACCTGGTCCCGCACGTAGTATTTCTTGGGAATGTCACCCCCATAGTTGATCTAGAATCAGAGCACAGAGTGAGCTGAGGTGTGCATTTCAGCAAGGATTCCCTGTTGGCCTCCAGCTGGCTGCCCGTACCTTGGATTTGCACTTGGGGTTTCCATCAGGGTCGGTCATGGTGCCTCCATATTCCACAGGCAACTGGTCAGGGCTGACATGTTTGAGTAAAACCTCCTTCCAGTTTGCTGGTAGGAGAGGGAAGGACAGAGACATGTCACTAGGCAGGATTTCAGCCCTGGTGGTCCATACTGTAGAGGTAGAAAAAACTGTCCGTTCCTAAAAAGGGGGTGTTCATGAGCTGGGTATGGCAACCCACTCAGCCTTGGTGCCATAGTGAGACTTTGTCTCAGAAAAAAGGAATACATTATGAGCATGTGCTACATGAACACTTCTACAGGGGGGTTGGCAAGCCATTGCCCAGAGGATGACCCTACTTGGGCCAGGAATCAGAAGCCCTGAGTTGTCATCATGGCCTCTGACCAGCTCAGCAACTTTAGGAAATCAGTTCATTCTGTGCTAGCTCTTCCTGTGTGCAGGGTTATGAAGGACGTAAAATGAACTAAGTGTGTATGAGAAGGCTTTGTAAACTGTGAAGAGCCCTGCACTCCCAGGAAGATGATACAAACATTAAAATACAAGCATTGTAGGGACAAAGAAAGCAGGGAAAGGCATTCCACGCAGAGGAATGTGTGGCAGACCAGAAGTCTTGAATCCATAGGGCCTGATCTAGTTAAGGCCGAACTCCCATCTCCTGTACTTGATCGGGCTCAGTCATGACTTATGTGGGCTTGTTTGGCTTTACCCCAGCCCCAATTTCACTTCTCCTGTTATTTGGGGCTGCTTGGTGGTTGTTTCTAAACAAATCCTCCTGATTAGAGACATTGACTCCAGAGTATCTGATGCTGAGAACCACTTCACCTATCCAATTTGCAAAGAAATAGCCAAATACAATATTTTGATACTGAAAACCTTTCCATGCTGACTATATAGATTATATGTAGGCAACACCTCCATGCCAGGGAGCCTCATGTCCTCCGAACCATTGACTAGAACCCTGTTGACAGTCCAGGGTCTGCCAACCCTCAGGTGTTTAGGGTCCCAAAATCATGCAACTCTTGGGAACACAATGTCTGTGGTCTTAGGGTGATTTCGTTAGCACTGCTAAGCTCCAGTGACTAGCCTTTAGTGAATTTCATCCCTCCTCTACTGAAGACCCTGTTCATTTACAGTCCGCCTGAGGCAAGTTTGGTTGAAAGAGTTTGAAGTGTGGGCAGAAGAACAGACTGAACCTCCTACGTAGCTCTGCTGCCAGGAAACCAAACTGTCTCACGCATATGGTGGGTGGTAGCAAAGGAACCAAAAACCATAAAAACCTTTTGCTCTGATTTTGTTATTTCTTTTCCAAGCTAAGCAGGAGAGCTGGGATAAGGCCAGGAGAATTCTTCCTATCTTACAGAGAGTAACTGAGACTCCACAGGGCATCATTGGTCACTACCAAAGCTAGGACTAGAATTCAGAAGTCCTGTACTTTATTATTGAAAACAGAATCTCACTGTGTGGCCCAGGCTGGCCTGGAATTCACCTTGTAGCCTTGACCTGACCTTCCTTTGCCTCCCCAATGCTGAGATTTCTTAAATGCATTTTGGGGGGTTTTAATGAGAGAGAGAGAGAGAGAGAGAGAGAGAGAGAGAGAGAGAGAGAATTATACTAGTTTTATTTAAAAAATGAGAGAGAGAGAGAGAGAGAGAGAGAGAGAGAGAGAAAGAGAGAGAGGAAGAAGAAGAGGAGAGGAGAGAGAGAGATCTTCATGTAATATGGCATGGCACGTTTGGAGGTCAGAGGACAACTTTTGGGAGCTGGTTCTCTTCTTCCACTGTGGGATCCTGGGATCAATCTTAAGTTACCAGGCTTACATTTTGACCTGATGAGCTGTCTCACCAGCCCACATTGTTGTTTAGAGACATGGCCTCACTATATAGCTCAGGTTGGCCTTGAACTTAGGATGTACCCCAGGCAGACCTGGAGCTTGAGATTCTCTTTCCTCATTTCCAAAGTGCTGGGATTATAGATATGCACCACTTTCCCAATCCAAAGTTACCACTCACTTGATCTTGGCCAAATGTCCAAGAAGCAAAATTGGTACTATGTCATCTAAAGATGGACCTTCAGAGACCTTCAGAGTCACTACTACCTACTGCCAGCTCAACTCCACAGCCTATCCCAGTCTTCCTTTCTAGCCCACCACTCCACTTCCTACCCCCAGTTAGCTTGGTTCCTATGTGTCCTGGAGGGTTTGGGGGGGTCACATTTTCCCATGTGTTCTGATGTTCTCCCCACTGCTCTACATATCCAATCACTGCTTATCTGCTTATCTGCCAACCTCATTAATCATTTATCTGTTTTCCCAGTGGGATCCGCTTACTCTGCCTGCTCATGAACTTGGAGATTTCCCCAGGGTTCAAGCTCTATTCTTTCCTGATAGTCTTAACTATTCTCAAGGTTCTGCCTGCTACCTGAATTTGATAACTCCCAAATCTCCAGCTCTAAATTTTCTCCTAAGCTTCAGACTCTTGGATTCTCAACATCTATAGGTCTTGCATAGTCAACCTCTAGCTCATCCACACCTCTATGAGTTTTTCCTCTGGTTGAACAAATGCATCATCCTGCACTCAGTCACTCATGCCAGACACCAAGGAGCATTCTAAATTTCTCCTTCTCCCTTACCTTCTCCATCCAGCCAATTGAGTTCTGCTTCCTATGTAAGTTGTAAGTACAGCCTTTCCTCTTATCTCTGTTGCCACTACCTCAGTGCATGCTGTCTCTTGCATGGCCAACAGCAACAGCATAACATACAAACTGGTAATCTGTCTTTCACAGCCTTGGCCAGAACAGTATGACAGTTGAAAGTTTGATCATGGTACTGCTAAGAACTCGTCTCTGGTTCCCAGTGACCTGTAGAGTCATGTCCCAGCCTCTGAGCATGGTGCCCATGGATTCTATGCAGCCTGGCTCCTGGCTCTCTCCCCACCCTATCTCTTGCAGCACCCTGCCTCACATTCCATGATAACTGCCTTAGGTAGGCCCTTGCTTTGTGCTCCTCTTTCTGCCAAGCAACTTCCTACTTTGCCCCATATGTCTGACTTGCTCATACTTCTGTGTGTAGCGTAGGTGGGCATGGCCCTCGCCAGCTCAGGTGGGATGAGTGTCCCTGCTAAGCATGACTGTGAACTCTGGTTCCCCTTTCTTCCATTTATCATATCAAGCTGATAAATATGTTTGTGTCTCCTTTCCCTGAGAGCTATTCAAGGCACCTGGCACCTAGTCCTGAGCCTGGCATAGCAAAGGTGCTTGCAAGAGTGGAACCGCTCCTAGCTGACCCAAACTGACCTCCATGCCACCTTCTTGATGCCCTTTCTAGTGCCTTCTTGTTCAGATCATAACTTTCTATAGTTGTCTCTCCCCCTAATACTGTAAGGCCGCTTAAGGACAAGTATTGGAACTTCATTCATCTTTGAATCTTCAATGGTGAGCCCAGTGTTTGCTTCTAGCGTATCTGAAAACAGATGGAAAGGTCCAGCTCTGTTTCCACTTGCCCCTGTGTCCCAACTACTACCAAAGCAGAGGATGAGCCTTTGGCCTGGATGCTATGGCCACCTCTCTAAAACCAGACCCAATTTAGAGTGCACACCAATCTGTGGAGTTAGGGCCACTTACCTCCCAGGACCATAATCTTTTTACGAGTGTCCTCACTCAGGAAGGGCTTGATGAGGTTATAGGCCACAGGAAACAGCTTAGGGGCTGGAAGAGAGACCAGACCATATGAGGCCAGAAGCAAGGATAACTCAGTTGCTGACAGCATCATCTACTATTCACCTCTCTGCAGCACCAACCCCATATTGGCACCCATGTCCCCTAGTATTATGGAGTGAACATGGGGGCAGCCCAGGCCTTGAGGTTCAGCCTGGTATGTTGGAGATTTAGTTCCCAGTCTATACATGGGGTATGGCCGAAGGATCTCCTATCACATCACTAACTCACATTCTATTGGGCCAGATGACTCACAGGAGGCAATGAACGGTAAAGCATCTGTACAGGTCAAGGTCAAGCTTTTGAATATGTCCTTTGACTCACTGTTTTACTCAGTCTGTCCCCAAGTAATGTGTTTGACCCCTTGTTCCCATTTGGCTTCTTCACCAGAAATTCCCAGCTTACCTTTAACAACAAACAGACGCTTCAGTGTTTCAGGATAATTTTCCTCAAACATGCAGAGAAACTGTGGAAGCAAAATTGCTGTAGTTCCAGTAGGCTCAGGCCTCTGTGCCAGTCAGAGAAGTCCTGTTTCCTCCAGGCTGGAATCTGCCAACACCACACCCATCCTCTGGGAAGCCTATCTGAGAGGTCCCCTCCTGCTCCCATTCTCCTTGCTCCTCACCTCTCCATAGGCTTCCACAGCAGGTTTCCAGAGATGCTTGAGGCCAAGTCCTTCACAGTCATAAATCATGGTGATGGTCTCTATTTTCTTCCCCAGCTACAGGGAACAAACAGACAGCAGGAAGACACATCACTGTCCTGCTGCAGAAACCCAGCCCAAGTCAGAGCCAATGCTGATTGTATCAGGTACCAACAGAGTAACCAGATCAGGTCTGACTGGGTCCAGGGCTTTCCAGATGGAGATAATGACCCTAGGTTGGAACTATGACTTAGACAAGTTGTTCCTCCCGTTGGGTCTCCATGTTCTCATCTGGTAAATGATTGGATGGGTTGAGATCACAGATGGGACCCCCTCAGTCCTGCAGGTTCTCATGCTGGCCTCCCTCTTTGTCAGAATCACCATATGCTCCCTGGGCAGCACCCATGTGGCACCTGGACATAAGCTACCTCTCCTTAGGCACGGAGGCTCTGTGCGACCTAGACCCTAAGGAAGCACCCAGGTTGACTTGCTTCTATGTCCCCAACCCCTCTGGTTTCTGCATTCAGTAAGCTCTTTGTGAGCATTTACAGATGACATGATGAAATGTCCCCCAAACTTTGACATACCCTTTGGAGCTGCTGGGAAGAAGGCAGGCAAGAAAGCCAGGTGGCAGTTCCAGCTTTTGCCTTGGTCTTTTTCTTTTCTTTTTTAAAAATTACATTTTTAATGGTGTGTGTGTGTGTGTGTGTGTGTGTGTGTGTGTGTGATATTAAACTCAGAACCTTTTCTGTGCTGGGCAAGCTCTCTGCCATTTAGCTACATCTCCAGCTGTAGTAAATTCTTGGGTTTGGGATTTTTATTTGTTTCTTTGCTTTTTAGTGTCTTACTATGTAACCCAGGCTACACAGCCTCAAATTCAAGATCCTCCTGCCTCAGACTTTTGTTACTGACATGTTTGTACACCACTTCACCCTGCTGCAGTGCATTTTTGTTTTTTGTTTGTTTTGGTTTTGATTTTGCAGTACTGGGGTTGGACCCTAGGGCCTTGAGTATAATAAGCAAGTACTCTACCAGCTGAGCTGCAACTTTAGCCTTGGAGTGAATTTTTTATGAAGTAAATTTATTCAATTTAAAGGACTGCTTTTTATTCTGAGACTATACCATTCCTATAGTTTGGGATATTATGACAATAGTAGTCATTTAAAGTCATTATCAAAATGAAAATGTGACAAGTTGGGGGTGTAGCTTAGTGGAGTGGTAGAGTGCTTGCCTAACATGCACAAGGCCCTAGGCTCAATCTCCAGTAGAAGAGAGGGAGAGAAAGAAAATGGATTGGCAACATTATGTTAGTCTACAACTTTGAGATTTCAGGTCCATAAAACCCAAAAGTCTGAGCCTCAACCCTGAGGCTGTGAGTCCATCCCTCTGTACAGCCCTGCTTCTGCTGAATGGAGTGCCTGCACAATGGTCAATTCATTCATGATACCAAGCAGGCCACCCACCTTTGTGGTCTGGTTGGCACACTCCTGCAGAAGCAGCTCACAGTCCCGCATCTTGGTCCTAAGCAGGTCCTGCTTGGAGGCGGAGAACAGCAGACCCTTGGCATCCAGAGGCCCAATGATGTCATACCAGACTGGACAGCCATCCAGGTCATAGCCACACCTGCCCCCAGACAGATACTGTTGGATCACCTGAGCAAAGACATGTAGAGGCACTTGGTGGGCAGGTTTAAGGCATCCATACCTTCCCTGATCCCAGTACTTTACTATGGGTTCATCAATCTCTTCTACCACATCCATTGGTTCCAACCAAAACCCATTTTGAAACCACAGTGACTCCTTTGATATTGTCAGACCTGTCCTCTGAGGCTCTCAGTCCAAGGGACCAGGATATTCACTGGGTCTAATAAGCATCCTCCCCTAGGGATAGAATGGGATCATTTGTCCTCACCTCTGGAGGCTGCCAGCTGATGATGTTGTCAATGTCCTTTTGCTTCCGGAACTCCACATGCTGCAAATGCACAAAGATTTAGAAAGCAGGATGTGAGAAGGGAGGGTGGTGGTTCTAAATAGATGCCTAGTGATGAGTGATAGCATGAGCTGACCACCAGACCATGGGTGACCCCTAGAAGACCCTAGACAGGAGTAGAAAAGGTGACCCCCACCTTCATCAGAGATCTCAGCAAGATCATCATTCTCGGCTGGTCCAGAAGTAGTAAAGCTCTGTGTTTCCAGGGAAGGAAACACACTTTGTCCCTCAGGGATAAGGCAACAATGGTTGGCTAACAGATATATCACACAAGCCAAAGACTGTAACTCGTGTGGATGGGGAGTGGGCAAAAGAAATCCAGGCAAGATGTGACTCTGATGTGAAGAATTGATGTAGCAGTGGGACCTCACCTTCCGAAGCATGGCCTCCGACTTCTGCAGGTCAAAGCTTCGAGCTGTAACAAAAATATGACCAGGTTAGGCCATCAGACTACATGTCCAAGGATGCAGAAATCAGCCTGTTTCTGGATTCAGGTCAGCTCCTCTTATGGATTTCTGCAACTCATTGTCAGATCTGATTCTCAGAGGGCCACCACTGAGAGCTTGTGAAACACCACAGCCCCTGGGTTTATGGGATAAGCAGATCATATTCAACGCAGTTGGGAGGGCAGGGCATTGTAACCTTGGGGTCAGAGTATCCTAGTGGATACAAATCAGGTAAAGGGTCTTATCTCAGAGAAAGTGAACCCTGGATCCCTTTATCAATTGGCCATCCCCCTACAAGGATAAACCTTTATCTCCATAGTCTAACATCCAGCCCCAAGACATTGGCCCACAGTTCAAAGATGAACATAGCTGCCCCAGAATGAGGTGGAGCTAGCAGAACACCTCAGTGAGGTAAAGGAGTCAATGCTCCTCCAGTCAATGCTGTCATTTCCCTAAAGGATCCACACAAAGAGTTCCTGAAAAGTGTCTGAATCAAAGCTTACCTGGTCCCACACTCTATTTTAGGCATGTAACAAGTTGCCCTTCTCAAGACACAAGGTCTTGAACATACAATCTCACTGTCCCCCAAGGCCATTTGCTCCCAGATAACCAGAGTGCCATCTGTACCTGTTTCTTGTCTTTAGCTACAATCTACTCCAAAGAGGCCTTTCTGCCACCTGACAACCCTCCCAAGATGTGAATTCTGTGTCATCACCCTGGCCATCCTTGGAGCCTTTCATTGTTTCTCATACTCGGCTGCAGGACCATCCTAATAATTTGCCTTTGGGTATTGTCCACCTTGCCAGGGCCCCTCCTCCCTAGGTGAGCTTTCCAAGCTGAAAATACTCCCAGGTGTTGTTTGCCTTCTGCAATAAACCCTAAGAATTCTCTTGGCAACAGTCATGGCTTTAGCTCAGGTGGAGCTTAGAGTCAACTGAAACCCCTAAATCCTTCACACCTGTGATCTGACTAAGCCCCCAGTCCCTCCATGAAGAGGAGGGACCCTCCATGCATCCCTCTCAAATTTCATCATGGTGGCCTGCTTTGTTCCATCCTTTGAAGTGTCTAAGCTTCTGATTCATTTGGCCATCTAACCTATAAACTGTTTCTCCTGGCCATACATCTTCTGTGGATTTGATGAACATCTGCTGACAGTCCTGGATGTTGGACAAACAGGCTGCCCTCTGGAATGTCACTGATCCTTTCATCATTGCTACTGTGAAATCCAGCCCTCTCTCTGGAGCCAAGAGGGTATGTCAAGAGGTCTGACCAAAGCTGGGTGTGGTACCTTTAGAGGCTGAGACAGGAGGATCTCGAGTTTGATGTCAGGCTGGGCTATCTACGAAGTTCAGGCCAATCTGGGCTACATATTGAAACCCTTCTTAAGAAAGCAAAAGCTGGGTGTAATGTTACATGCCTTTAATCGGGAGGCAGAGGCACAAGCAGGTGGATCTCTGTGAGATCAAGGCCAATCTAGTCTATATAGAAAGTTCCAGGCCAGCTGGGGTTATAGGGAGACCCTGTCTCAAAAGGACAAAGAAAGAAAGAAAGAAGGAAGGAGAGAGAGAGAGAGAGAGAGAGAGAGAGAGAGAGAAATGATAAAACTGGTTTTGCAACCATACTCTGTCTCCTTGTTTAAAAAGAGAACAGACTGATCTAGGGCAAAGTAGACAGTACAGAGGTTTTTGGTCAGCAAGATGGCTCCATGGGTAAAGGAGCTTTCCTGAATTTGATCCCCAGAACCCATGTAAAGGTAGGAGGAGAGAACCAATTCTACAAAGTTATCCTGTGACCTCCACATGTGCACAGTGACATGCCCCGCCCTACAAAATCATGTATACACACAATAATAGTACATTTTAAAATTTTTAAAAAAGAAGGAAAAAGAACAAGAGGGTTGGCCATTGCCACAGTCATTATGGACGCTGGACCCTTCCTGGCAGAACCAGGCAGCTGCTCTTGGGAGCTGGTAGCCTTGGGAATTTCTTCCTCATTCTTCCTGTGTCATCTGCCAGTCTGGGGCAGATTTCAGAAGAATTTAAATGGGTCTGCATCTCAGCAAATCTTTTGGATTTTACCTTGGAAAAGATATTATATATTCCTGACCAGATCAGCTAAGAAACTAGAAATCCTAGTAAAGCAGCATCCTCTTGTGACAGAGGAGCTGGATCATGAAAATGGGAGTTTCCCAAAGAAAGGACACCCCTCTAGGGAAGACAGTCTTTATCTCCCTAGAGAACAGGGCCCAGGAGCCATAAACTCCTTATCTAGGGGAAACCTCTCCAGTTAACCCTTATCTGCCAGAATCTAACATCCAGGGTCTTCCTCAAGGCTTTCCTTATCTGCCTAGTGCTCCCCATGCCAGTTGAATTAGACCTCTCCAGGCTCCTACTGCTCTGCTCAAGGGCAACTGAATGCCTGACATGGGGTACTGCACCATAACCCAGCCCAGGAACAGCCATTCTGGGCTCTAGTTTGCCCATAGCCCATAGTCTATCCCTATCTAACTACAGAGATCCACTCAGCCACACCGCTTCCTCTCAGGGTTTCTACTACCTCTTTGTTCTGTCTTGCTCACTGGCCCTCTTTGTTGGGGTACCCAGAACTCACCTCCAGCCAGAGAGAGGCAATAGGGATTTGTATACCCGCTGGAAGGCCAACAGAAAACTGAACCCCAAGCTCATACCACATTCTACTGCAAACATCTCCTTCAGAATCAAAAAAAGAAAGAAAAACTTTTTTTAAAGGCAACAAAAACCCCAATTCAAATTCATAATAGGGTCTGACTAGGTCTGAGCTCCTGCCCAGAAAATGTGAAGCACAAATAAACCACAGAGGAGAAACTTCCTCTGTTTTAAGAAGCAGAACTTGGAACCAGGGTGTAGCTCAGTGATAAAATGCTTGCCTGACAGGCACCAGGCCCTGGGTTCGAACCTCAACACCGCAGAAACAGAAAACCAATTACGAAGCAGAGCTTGGCTTCAGGGGCAGCTGTGCAAAGGGATGCTGTGGCTTACTGGGAATCTGGAGTCCTAGGTTCCGCCCTGATTGTGTTCTGCATTGCCTGTGTGCCTTCAGGTAAGTCCCTCCTTTATCTGAACCTCAGTTTTCTCATTTGGAAAATGAGAATGACTAATACTCTGGTATTCCCATGAGGGTATACTCAGTGCCAGATGTGGGCACTTGGTGAACCATCAAGCCTCATACAATGGGTTATCCATCCCAGGACTCTGGTAGCATATTTAGCGTCTGGGAGACCAGCTGCCAGAACCTAAGCCAGCCTGTGCCTAAATAAACCTAACTGTTCAATGGCTCTCTGGAACCGCTCTCCTAGCAGCAGCTCCATGGTTGGCTGGATCATCTTGCGGCTGGCCCTTTAAGGAGGCCACTGTCTTCCCACTCTCTCCACCCACTTGCTTTTAGCTCCAGTCCTTCAGAAAATGCTGGGCCAAAATTTCCTCAGCATGGACTGACTTCATCGCCACCCCCACACTGCTCCTCCACCCTCTCTAGATGGACTTAGGGAGGGATAGGATCACAACTGTGAAGGGAAATGGGCAGGTGACACTTCCAGAGGCCGATGAGACCCACGAGACTCTCCTGGGTACACCTGCCCTTGGGTGTTTTTACCAGGCCTTCAAGAGTATGCCAGCTCTGGAAAGCAAAATAGCAAAGGAAATCACATCTTTTCACCTGTCCCAAGACTCCAAGGGCATGGAGATGTATGGATGTGTCTACAAATAAATTGCAGGGCTTGCACTTCTACATGTTGGGATAGAATTCTACATCACAACTGGAGCTCTGCTAGTCAGAAGAGACTTTCCTTATGGCAAAGTTTTTATAAAGAAAAATAAAAGTGTGTCAGAAGAGCTGGGAAGGGTGGCACATGCACTGAATGACAGGAAAGGAGAGGGAAAGAACAAAAAGGTCTAAGGAGCCAGGGACCAGGCCAAGTCTGATTCTGACACTAGCAGCAATATGGTCCCATCATCCCACAGGTGGATCTTGTCATATTATATCTTGCAAAAGGCAAGGCACTCTGCCTAATCCTGTTCTCCCAGAGGAGGAACCAGGAGAAGATCTGTGACCTTGGCTCAGGTGTCACAGCCAGGCTAGCATAAGCTAGAACTAAAATTCAGGGCGCTGGGGCCTGGCAGGGCGTTGTCCCCCTTCAGTTCCCATATACCCTGCTTTTCATTCAAGCTGCCAGGGCCAGGACCCTGGTTCTAACCTCAACTCTGCCTCCAACTTCCCACATAATGGGGCCTTTCTGGGCCTAGGTTTTCCTCCGTCTGCAGAGCAGACACATGGAATACATGGACAAGGAGCTAACAGTCCACACCCAGACAGTCTAGTTTCCTTTGTGCCTGCAGCTCACCTAGCAAGTCACTTCACATCTCCGAGTATCTGTGTCCATATCTAATAGAAGGGCTGGGGGACTGTGGCTGCCAGACAACTGTTTCTCTTAACTTGCCAGGGTTTCCAAGGGCCATCAGTCTGTTTTCCAGAACTTGTCCCTGCCCTAGCCTCCCAAAGACCCTCTTCCCTCACCTCGGAGCCAACGAAGGAGAAAGTAGTCATCTGGATTCGGCAGGGTGGGCAGCACATCTTGGACATTTTCTCGAAACTGCAGGGAGAGGCAGCTGAATGAGTGGGAGGTCCCCCATCTGTACTCTACCCAGAGGGCTCCATAGAGACCTTTGCCAGAGCCTTCTTTTACATACCAATCCCGTAGACACACTAAGTGCAGGCACTGTGTGGGGTGCCAAGTAGCAGAGGCACTCACTTCACTTATGAGCACATCTCCACATCAGTCTGCTGGGCAGGTTGGAGTGTTCCCAGCTAACTGAAAGCAGGCACTATGGTACATGCTATGGTAGATGCTGTCTGTACACCTAGCACTCCATATGTGCACAACACTGATCTTGGCCCTGTGTCCTATAGCTCAGACCCCCTAGAAGTATCACTGTCCCCATTTTACAGATGAAGGAATGGAAATTCAAAGAGGCTAACCAACACATCTACAATCACACAGCTGGGTTACAGATCTGAGGCCAGATTCCACTGCAGTTTTCTACCCCCATGGTAATGGAACGGGGTAATGGAGAAGAGGGTGGTCTCAAAGGCCTTCACTCAAAGATGCCATTTGAGCTGAGTGTGAAAGACTTCAAAAGTAGAAGAGGGAGAGAGATGGACAAATTCAGATGGAGAGGACAGCTCCAGCGGGAAGCCACGAAAAGGGAAAAGTACCAGGAGAGCTAACCAAGTGAGATGGACAGTGACCCCAAAAGACAGCCACACCGACCTCTAATCTTTCACTACCCAGTAGGTGAGCAGGCCCCTTGCTGCTCTCCCCAAGCCTCCTGCCCCAAACAGTAACCTTTTCCTGGTCACTGACCTGTAAGACACCCCTAGAGGGGACCAATGAGGACTGGCCACCTCTGCCCCTTGCCTAGGTCAGCAAGGTCAATCAGACCCTCCCATCCCCCCAAAGCAGCTCCCAGTGCTAGAGACAATGATCATCCAAACAACAGTTGGAAGCCATCCCTCACCAAAGACCCTACCTAAACCCCTGGTTTAATCCACCTAATCCCATCTCAGCCAGACTTCTCCTGTAGATCAGCAGTGAATTTGAGATGAAGAAGACTCAGCCTGGGAAAAAACTACACACAGCGGGTGACATCTGCTGTCCTCCTCCTAGAATAGAAAGCTGCCCAACTGTGGAGCCTCCAAACCTTGGGGCTGGATCCCACCAACTCTGGCCCAGGGCAACTAAATCTGCATTAGTGGGGAAGAAGGTCCAGCCCTTGAACTTGAATGGAGTAGATGGGCCTCTCCTCTGCCCAAGTGCCAAGGCAAAGCCTGGTCACATCCTTGCCTTCTAAGGAGCATCACCTAAGTCCCTTGGCAGGCAAAAGTCTATGTTCTATAGAAGAGTTCTCAGCGAAACTAACCCAACCTAACGGGTTTTGGAGCATCTTTGACTTCACACACAGAGAGGTGCCCCATTCAACATCCGGGGGTCCAATCTCCTTTCATTTAACCAAAGAGCAAACAGGACAGAGCTTTGCCCAAGGTCGCACAGTGACTTGGTACCTCGCAAGCGCTATGGGAGTACCTAAGGGGCTGTCCAGGTCTCTTCCATCTGCCACTGCCCCCACAAGAGGAAAACCTCCCGGAAATGGGAGGAATCCTGGTGCTCTGCCCCTGTCCCACGGCCCGGCTGCCAGTCCCTGCCAGCCCGAGGATGAATGTTGCCTTTGTGCCCTCAGCTGCCTCCGAGGGCTTCCAAGCAACCACTTCTTCCCAGGTGGCACCGCCAGGGCTGCTCCGGCTGGGGACTGCGATGACCAAACTTCCCGAGGTCCTCCAGACAGAGCGGGAAGCGGTCCACGGGCCCCGGGCAAAGTGAGGGCGACCGGCTTCTGCTCCCTCTGTCGCCCGCCTGGGGGGGTGGGGGGAACCGTCCCTCGAAGGCGCTTCCACCCGGAGGGCGTGGGCCACAGCCCTGAGCCGGGGCGGACTCACCTTGGCCAGAGCCTCCTTCTGTTTGGGGCTCAGGTCTCCGACTCTGCCGCTCATCCTGGCTCAGCCTCTGGGCGCGGCGGTTGCGGCAGCTGATGGAGCTCCGACTCACTTGCCTCAGCCGCTGGAGTAAAGTCCCAGCCCTTGGCCCCAGCCGCGGGGACTGGTGGCCAAGCCCCGCCTCTTAAAGGAGCCCGAGGGGCGGGGCCAGACACGCCGAGGCTCCGGAGCCCACGCGGGTCCCCTCCTCGGTCCCAAGGTCTGAGACGAGCAAGCGTGCCCACCGGGACATCTGAGCTTCTAGGGCCGGGTTCCTCATCCCAGCAAAGAGGAGGGTGAAAGGCCCCACTGGCTAAAGACTTCTAAGATCCGACGCCATATGGCAGAATCTGGCTGCTTCTTCAATACTTCCTTACCCAAAGATGTAACGGAGCTCTCCTGGTGCTCCCTCCCCAGAAGGGATGTTGCCTAAGTGTTCTGCCTCTAGGAACTCTGATGTTGACTCTCTGAGCTGTTGCTGCCCACCTAACATGCCATTGTTTATGACCACTGCTACCAGCCCAGGTTGCAGCCCTTCGGCTGGCATCCAGGGTTGGGGATGCAGCCCATTTGTAGAGTGCTTGCCTAGCCTGCACAGACTTGAGTCGAATTCCCAGCACTGCATAAACCGGTCATGGTGACACATGCTCACACATACCAGCGCTGGGAAGATGGAGGCTGAAGGATCAGAAGAAGTTCAAGGTAACCTTGGTTACATACTGAGTTTGAGATTAGCCAGGAATACAAACAAACAAACAAAACCAAAGTTGACAACCTTTTCCCTTTACCTGCAGAAACAGGCAGGGTGCAAAACATGGCACCTGGCTGAGGGGCAAGGAAAAACAGTTTCTCTACCTAGAACCCAGTGCTCTGAGTCTGACCTTTCCTGTTCTCTGGGAACCACTTCCAAAGTTCTCACACCCAGAATGGCATGACTGAGTCCTCTCTGGAAATCAGGAAGCTTAGGTTTAAGTGCCAGTGTTCCACATCTTTCTACAAGCTTCCATAAGCAAGCACCTTTGCCTCTCTGGGTTATGGTTCCTTCACTAAGTAGGGGTGATCATTGCCTTGTATGTTGGCATAAGGCTAAAGAGAATCAATAGATGTAATTCTCAGGCTTGGCTTCTTGTGGCCACTTCCTAGCCTGCCCTGCACAACCACCTTTTGCATGGCCAGACCTCAGCCTCAGGGTGGACAAAGAGGAAGCCACAGTGGAAGTCAGGGCCCAGAGAAAGCAGCTCTGCTATTAGCTTATCTGCTACCCAGCTCCGGCCCAGGACCTGTGGGCTCCCAGCTAGTGGCAAGTCTGACTTGTGGGTGGATGCTCTGGCAGCTGCAGCCCAGTAGCCTCCTGTCCAGCCTATGCCATCAGACTGTCCCAACACTCCCCAGTCACTGCCTCAGTCCAGCATCATGAAGCCATTTCCTCTTTTCAGATCTCAACTGCTTTCCCCTCTGCTAGGATCCTCAGTCACTTTGATCCTACGTCTATGGTAGCACCTGGTCACATGTTGATGGCCACTTTCTCCTCTTGTAAGTCATGCAATAAGTAATGTGCTAGAGCCCAGAAATGTTCAGATACTACCCTTTTATCCCAAAGATATTTGTTTACAAGAGCAAAGGCAAGTTAAATGGCCAAGGAGAAGAAGCCAATGGCTACGAGCTTAGAAAAGACAAAATTTTCTTAGGAATGAGAGACCCTAGAAGGTTTCATGGAGAGTAGAATTTGACCTGTACCTTTAAATGTGGGGGACATGGAAGGAAAACCCCTCATTCCATACCAGCACAATAGTATAAGCTAAGTTGTGGTGGTAGATGGGAAATGTGGCTATAGCCAGAGAGGTGGAGAGAGGCACAGACAGAAAGGACCTTAGAGCCTTGGTATGACCTAGTTTAGTAGCTAACATCTTACCTTTTAGGTCAACAGGTCCTTGGGCATATGCCCTGCTTTCCTCACCACAGTCCCCACAAGCCCTGCATCTCCCAGCACAGGCTCCTACAGACAGGGATGCCTAGTAAATGTACACTGTATACATAAATGCAAGGAATGTTCTAATACAAACCAAGAATGGTCACACATATCTGTAATCCAGGACTTGGGAGGAGGGGTGTTGAGGCAGGAGGATCACAAATTTGAGGCCAAGCTAGGTTATATAGTCAGACCCTAACAAATGTGAAAAATCAGAGGGAAAAAGAAGAGACAGAGAAAGAGAACTCCAAACCAAAGCAGGTGCTCCTGAAGGAAGAGTGAGATAAGCCTCAACCATATAGGGTTCATATGACCTGCCTCATTTAACAGCTGGGGAAACTGAGGCCCAAAGAGGTTATGTCTTGCTCAAAGTCATTAGTGGCATAACAGGTGTAGGGTGCCCAGTGATTGGCCCATGGAAAGAACTTCTCTTCCTACATGGCATTAATGCAGAGGTAGGCACATCCCCAAGCTACCTCAAAACTCAAGTTCCCAATGTCTCCCTTCATCTGGAAGTGGTAGAAGGCAAGGCAGGTGGCAGCAGGCCCTTTCAAGACATCTGGAAGGACTTTGCTGTTCCCCTGGTATGGCCACCACAGAGATCTGATGCAGGTCTGGCTGAGGGGCAGCCTGTGGCTGGCAGACCCCCAACCTAACTTGGGCAGAGTTTACAGGCAATGCTCTAGTTTAGGCTTCTTGGTTTCTGGTTTGGGACAGGGCAAGGCTGCCTTCCTCACTGGATGAATGGCTAAGGTCTTTATTTAGGACCCTTCTGGGGCCAGTGTGTTCTTTAGTGGGTAGAGCCTGCTCAAAGGAAAGTAGAGCAGCCCCTTCTGGTGGCTCAGAACCTTAGAGTTTATACTGTTCTTTGAGACAGCTTCTCATGGAAAAGCTGGCCAGTCCTCTAGAGTGGCAGTTCACTTGATGTATGGAGGAACCCAAGGGAGAGGGGTAGTCACAGGAGAGTGCCTACAGTCAAGACAAAGTCTGCTGTGCCTTCCAGGCCATCTCCTCTGGGATACCTTCAGGACTAGCCAGGGAGCTGCCTGCAGGGGCAGCCCAGAAAACCGCAAGGGACACATTCACCCCAAAGGAGTCACTGAACTTCCTCCCCAAGTCCAAATCTGTAGTTACACAAGAAGTCTAGCAAAGAACTCTCCCTCCTGCCTGCCCCTTGTGATTTTTCTACTGAGATTTACCTATGTCCAGCCTTTTGGGAAGCCACTAGTTAATCTAATAATATAAATCCTAGAAAAATAATCTGGTAAACTCCTCTGAGCTGGTTACTAAGAGAGACGCTCTCCTTCCTACCCTTACATTTTCTCTATTTCCCATCCCCTGCCTTACAATCTCCCTCCCTGCTAGGTATATTCCTTCTCTCTGCTTAAGAACCTTCCCTGGCTCCCCTTCCTTCAGAAGTCAGCTCAATCCCATTGACTTGCTTTCAAGGCCTATTCCATCTCTTCCCAGCATCCTTTGTGGCCAAAAGCCAAACACTTTCATTTCAGTCAAAGATGTTCCCTGCTGCTCCCTAAACACACTCCTGCCCTCTTGCCTCTGTCAGAGTTCTCATTCTCTCTTATTTCCTCCAGCTAGCTCCTGTTGGCCCTCAAAGCCTTGATCAATGCTGTTTCCAGAAACTTCTCCCATTGCAATGTGACCTCTGCCATCAGAAGCCCTTCTCTCCTGACCTTGGCAAGGACTCTTCTGTACTATGGTGCTATTGCCTGGCCTGACAGGAAGAACCTGGTCTCTAGGGTCAAGCAGCCTGGAAGTGAGCTTTTGTAACATGAGTGTGTGTGTGTGTGTGTGTGTGTGTGTGTGTGTGTGTGTGTCTGAGTGCATCTTACTGGGGACTAAGGCAGAGGAAGCATGAAAAATAGATGAACAACTGAAAGAGGAGCTTGGGGGTTAGGGTCTTAATTTTGGAAGTTAGACCATTGAGGTTTAGATTCTTCTAGAGAGCAACTCTGGGCATAAGGAAGAACACTGGACTGGGAGCCTTACACCATTTCCCCAAACTAAGGTGCTACAGGGACTATTCCAGCCATCAGCATGCACAAGGAATGTGGGGGTATTCCCATGGCTACTTGCCTGTGCCTTGCCTGTGTCAGGGCCTTAGAGACCATTGGCCTCAGACTCAGAGCCCCTCCCCCTGGTGCCCTGACCTCACATCTCCTGATGCCAGTGACAGAGGGAGTGGTGGCACAGAGATTGGCACAGCGATTTGAGAGTCAGAAACAACTGCCTTTTAAACCCTTCAACAAATATTTGTGGAACACTCTACTTCCACATGGACAGAGCCATAGGAACATTCTAGAAAACCCTTGAACTCATAGGACAGTCATGTAGAAAGGCCCTGAACCTTTTCCCCTTCTTCCAGCCCTGCCTCATAGGGCTGCAGCTGCCTCAGGCCACCTGCCTTCTCTGGGTGCCAGTAGCCTAGTGGGGAAACTAATCCTTATCTTTCTCTCTGGGGCCACTGTGATAATTCCAAGTGACATAATGGCTGGGAAAGTGGTAGATGCACATGGCCAGGGATTATTATAATTATTGCTATCCTGAGTTGTTCGTGAAGACACAAGAGAAAAATGAGAACCTGAGTCCAGCCCTCTCCTCCCCTGGAGCCCTACTTCCTCCTCATTTCCGCAGTCCACTCTGGCTTTATGAAGAGATACAAATCCTCTCCCAGCCCCACTTCCCACACCTGAACTCCCCTGATTAAGTCCTTACCCTCCTGGGTATCACTATCTAATCCCTAAGTCCTTTCTCACCAGTCTCCAGTTGTCTCAGGGAGTCAAATCCCTTTAGAATGCGGTGGCCCAGTTAGCTGTGAGCAGAGAGGCTGGGGGCAGGGAGCTGGGACCTGAGGACTCCCTCTGAGAAGACTGGAGGACAGGAAGGGTCTCGAGAAGACCTTGCTCCAACTCTGGCACAAGCTGACAAGAGCCTGGAGACTTTCCTGTGAGAAGGTGGGCCGCCATTTCTGCTCCCACCCTGCATCCAAGATGGAGGCTGAATCTCACCACCAGGCTTGTTCATGCCGCACTGGGGACTTGTAGAAGCAAAACGGTAGCCCACCAACTCTGGAACCAAACCACCTGGTTCTGTCCCCTGACAAAGTTACCTATCATTAGTTTCTCATTCAGAAAATGGCAGTGGTCATCTTCCTACCTCACCAAGTGGGGTGAA